AAGGACCAGTGAGCGCATTTGTTCTGGAGGTTTGTTAGATTTCCTGCAGAAGTCAAGCAGTTGGATGTAACACACTATATCAGTGTCTGCTAATGGGTTCATGGGGAGAAAAAGAGGCTTTTCGGTTTATCATCGATTTGCAATTCTTTCTTCAGTTCTATGGCTTTCTGTATTAGACAATTTTCTTCAGTTCTATGGCTTTTTGTATTAAACCAGATTGCGTTTTCAGATGTCTTGGTCTATAGAATTAGACCAGATTGCGTTTTCAGATGTCTTGGTCTATTTCTTATAGGTGCTGATGAACTTATCCATGGGAATGCGCCATAACTTCTCATACAGGATCAGGGCCTTTTCTTTAATAAGGGAACCCACTGATATAGGATCAAGGCCTTCTCTTTGATAAGGGAGCCTATTGATTAGGATCAGGGCCTTTTCTTTAATAAGGGAACCTATTGTGGTGCTTCCTGTAACTAGGAGCATTGCATCAATGGGTGTTGATTTTATAACTCCAGTAATTAGTCGTAATGCTTGGTTGTTTGGCTTCTAGAGTAGTTTGAGAGTCACCTCTGTGGCTGTAATGAGTGGCTCATAGCAATGCAACATTGCAAAATTGAATAATCAAGGTGAAAAATATTTGCCTAATAANTAAGGGAACATATTGTGCTGCTTCCTGTAAATAAGAGCATTACATCAATAGGTGTCGATTATAAGCCCCCCCCCAGTAATAAGTCGTAATGCTTGGTTGTGTGCCTTCTCGAGTGATAAGAGTCACCTCTGTGGCTGTAATGAGTGGCTCATAGCAATGCAACATTGCAAAATTGAATAATCAAGGTGAAAAATATTTGCCTAATAAATATCCTCAAAGAAGGCATTTGAGGTGGAGGCGAATGATTTAAACAAAAGGAATGTGAAAAATTTACCCAAAATGGAACTAAAAGTCGTAATTTAAATGTCGTACTGTAATGTATGTGTCACATCCCTAGCAATTGTAACTGTTGCGTCCTTTTGTTATTTGAACGAAGTAACTCTTAATCTTTGTGTCAAAGTGGACGTTGTCAAAGTTAGGGGCCACTTGTTCTACTCACGTCGACTCACACTGCGACTTTCTCAAGCGATCTTTTTCCTCGTTCTGATTCGTATTCAACACTCGTAGCCTCTAGAATCGTTCTTGGCAATACAGAAAAAAAACTACCAGTTTTAATCATGGGGCATCGGTATATCACAATCGTCTGTTAGTAAGGAATTATATCATGGCCTGGAGGGGAGAGGTGTTGGCAAATAAGAATGACCAATCAATAATAACTTTGAATTATGAGTTCATTGTTTGATAAATATTCCTTATAAGAGGTATAATCCAATTTGTTATGTAGTTCCAGGTATTTCAAAGCTTTGTTTTCATTATTATTCGTTTTTCTTCTCTGCGTAAGCTTGTATTTGTATCTATTATGCCTACTCTGTTTTATTGATTGGATGCGATTTTTGTACAATTTTTTCTATTCTTAAAATTGCGAGCTTAAACATGGTACTCATAAGTATATTTTAATTTCAACTGAATCTTACCTATCATTACTTCACTCTCTTCAATTGTTTTGCTACCTTTAAGCTTATATATATAAATATAAAGTAATATGGCATTTGTGACCTCTTATAATATTCCTATATTTACCTGATTTGTTAGTTTTTTTTATAAGAATTTAAATTCTGCGTTAACATTTTATAATTGGAATAATAAGATTTTGTATTACCACATGTTCCTATTTCGTGGGTGTTTGATATTATCTTCATATAACATAGGAATAGGTGGCATGTTAGTAATTTATCCTCTCTATATTGTTCTCCATTAATTCTGGCTTAAAATGGTGAGATTTTGGAAAAAATTGTCACCATAGGTCCTCTCGGTTTGTTGACTTTTATCTTTGAAGTGGGAAAGAGGCAATTTTGCCTTTCCAGCGAGCACCGGTGGTCCAGAGGTCAGTGGGCACGTCCGCTTTATGGTGTCAGAACTTGACGTATGCATGCAAAAGTAGAACTCGATTTTATAATTGTCAAAAGTTAGGGATGGAGTTGAGGGGGGGGGAGATGGGTAAATTTTGAAACTCCAAACCGGGTAGCAAAAGAGTCATGTCTTGGATTGTGAACAATGCTTGCTCAATGGTTGGTTTCTCTTTCAAATTTCAAACAATTCAGGATCTATTTCCTGAATTACTTAATCAATTTGTTGTTCCCCGTGTTTTGTACCGAGTGTAACCGGGAGGCTTTTATTTTTCATTCTTTCCAAGGGGCTGAGAGAGAGAGAAACTTGAAGGATTTTTTTAGTGATCTTAAGCAACGTGTAGTGGAACTTTCCTTGAGCGGCGAACTCTAGGCAATAAGTAGCACTCACGTTTTGGAGTGCATTCCGTTCACTTTAAAAAGTTGACTTTCCAATTTCATTCTGCATCCCCAAACTTTTTATAAGACGCAGCTTCGCTTTTGCCTTAATCTCTCTTAACTCAATTTTCTCAATTCCAACTTAATGAATGTAGACAAGCAAGAAATTTTACCTCCATTACTTTTACTTATAAATTTTAATAAAGTAATAATAATTCATGAAATTTTTAAGCCAGTATTCATTTCCTCATGTGACAATTTTTCCAACGGAGAAATTATGGACTTTATTTAAACTGAGTTTTACCAATTACCATTTGTTCTCTGAGGAGTGTTAAATGGATTTTGATATCGCAGCTAACTTATCATTTTAGTAAATTGAACGATAAACTTGCTGACGTTATCTCATTCATCAACCTACTATTCAAATTCTGAAATCTGAATTTTAGATCAATAGTGATAGCTTACTGAATACGGTACCCAGATAAAGAGGATTTGCTTTACCGCTCTGACTAGGTTCCTTAAGTCACCTTGACCCCCTCCTTATTAGACCGGTTTTTCTGTTTCTAATTCACTTCTGTACTGAAATATCACTAACTCATACTTTCCTTGGTTATTATTATTTTTATTATTGTTGTTGTTAAGGATTACAAATTTATGTTAATTTCAATTAAACGTGTATATCGGGTCTAGTTTTACCTAAAGTGCTTACAGTACGTTCCTTGACCTACAAACGACGTTTTAATTAACATCGCATTTTTTTCAACTCTATTTGTACTAATTTGAACCCCAAATGCCACCAAGTATCAATTAGGTCTCATTGATTAAATGTATTTTTGTTCAGTGTAAAGTTGTGGTGCCTATATTAAGATTCATAGGCTCTCAATGAAGCACTGGTGAGCAAGTTTCCCCTCACACACATACACACACACACTTGCCTTGAAAGCTACGCTCTATAAGAATACCCGATAAATCTCAAGGAATGAGGCTTTATGAGCAAAGGAGTCATAACTGGAGGTATGCATAAATCTTGCCCTCACGACTTCAATCACCATGTTTATCTTGCTTCTCTCCTCAGGAAATTTGGCGTAGCAAACTAAGTACCCCCAAGTCTAAATTGTATCTTTAACGTGACCTTTTGTTTGAATGGACTATATTATCAAACTGAGAAGAGTATTATATCACGAAAACCTAAAATTCAGTTCCACTTTGATTTCCCACTAATGTGCTGTGTCTGTACTGTGGCTATGGAAATCGTGCGGTAGTAATTTGTATAACAACTAAATAATTTTCATTTTGGCTTAGGAACATTCAATATCCCAATAATCTTTTTGGTACAATCTCCTTGCCAATTTGGTGTTTCGGTTTATCACCCTAGTAGAGTGGTGCTGCTTCCAAACAACCTATTGAACCTCGATTACCTTTTTATAAATAGTACTTAACTTGGTTGTGGGTTAATTATTGCTTATGTGGTCACATAAAGTATGACTTTTCCCTATTGAAATACTGCATATTAGTGGAGCCTGCCACTGAAATGGGATTGGGAGTTATATTCTTTCTTTTCTGCAATTATAGCCTTCCAAGAAGCCCCCGGAATAAGAAATAGATCCTTATATCTGACATTTGACAGCATGTTTAGTCTTTATTTTTCTCATCAGGACTACTTGTTTTTTCGTTATCTTGTTGCAATCTACTGGCATGCAATCAGGCGCATGGTAGATGTATCAATTTCTCAAATGCCTACTTCATATTTCTTCGCTGCTTAAAGAATGCCTACTAAGCCTAGCATTGTGAAGGGATAATCCCTTATATTTTAAAGAGCTTCAAAATAAAATCGTCTGCGCCAATTAATACAGAGTCATTTATGGGGCATGATGTATCTGTTTGGTTGTGAAAGAAAGTGAAAATAATGTCTCCTTAAATTACGAAACTATTTAGAACCAACCGCCAGTTAAGCAGCCTTCTGTCACATCTCAACCCCAAGCCCCCAGAGCTAGTTATGTCCAGGCACCTCCTCCTCCTCCTCCACCCCCTAGGTCTTCGCAGACAGAGTGCAGTTCCCCATCAGTAATCCCTGTTCTCTCTGACCAACCACATCTTTCAAGACCTAGACGTGAAGCTCCTCAAGGACCAGGACCGGTATGTTCACTTATTCTTTCATTATCCTCCATCTCCACCCTCCTCTCTTTGTATTCCCATAAATTGGGTTACTTGTTTTTTCCCAAACTGAATTTTTACAGACATCTGTTAACGGTGCTCTCCGAAGTTTTCGAGCTAAACCTCAGGTTAGTTGACTATGTTCCATGTTCTCCTCCTTCTATAACGCATGTTTAATAATATGACCCTGTCTCGCCATTTATATGCTTTATTATTTGTGTTTCGCATGCGTCTTTGGAAATCATTTTTCTATTCCAAAATACCCTCAAATCCATTGAGGAGGTATGTTTCCCCTTTCCATCTTGCAAATACGTATGTCTTTTTTCATAAAATATCTCTTCTTTTACATTAGGTTTTATCATTAAGACGGATCACTTTAATTTCTGTATTTATCGTTGCCCCTTTCAACTGATCAGACCCGATTTTTTAATGTCTTGCTTATTATTAATCAATGGTCTTTCCGATAAAGTTTCAATGCTGAATAGGCATATTTTGTTTCGATAGGCTGTATCTCGTAATTCTCTATGCTAGTTTTCATCATGACGCCTTGGGAGAACCGAATTTTATAACGCGAATATCGTGACATCGCAGATGCTACTTCGCCTTGTCGCGCCCCTATAGCCTTTTCTAGAACGCGTTATTTTGCTACTGCTGTCTAGCTGAGTAATAATTTAATTAACTGAGGCGATTGCAATATAGCAATGATAATACGGTTAATACAGCTTCAATTTCTCTAACTATGATGCATTATCGTTGCCTCAGAGGTGTTTTTCCTCTCCAATCATTCTTCTCCTGATCAGAACAATTCTAAGCCGTTATGGGCATGCTTTAAGAGATTATGATTGTTGCTATACCAAATGGCATAGGGTGATTTGCAGTCAATTATGCGGTCCTAGCTTCCCACTGAGGCAGTTATGGTTGTGCACACCCATGAGCAACGAGGGGGTGGGTGGGAGGAGGACTTGCAACCCCAAGGTTTCCCTTTTAACTGTTGGCCATGTAAACACTTTACATAGAGCTTTAATTGGCAAGCAAAATAATGAATCTCCCTAGCCTAATTCTCTTTTTAATTGGCATAAAACCAATTTCCATGTTTTGAATTACAGTTTACTTTCGGTTTATTTTTTGAGTAAGCATAATTCCATTCCCATTTTTCAATTCTTTGATCTGTTTACCCCACTTTTAGCTCTATTTAATTGAATAAATGTTCTGTTCGGTGGGTGGTTTCATGTCTGAATCATCTACATTCTATGCTTAAACTTTCATCTTAAACGCTGATTACTTTCCCTTTTCAGTCGAATGTTTACCTTATCATTTGCATGATCACGGCATGCTATTTCTATCAGTTCACTCAAATGCCATTCGCCCTTTCATCAAAGTAGACTCTCTCGTACTTATCAATTTTTTCCCCATTTCAAGGCGCCACAACCGCCACAACAGATTCCAGCAGGAGGAACCTACAAACCTATCGCCCAATTGACTAAGAATGATCGAGTTGCTCCCTCTTTGCCATCACGAGATACACACTCTTGGGAATCTAGATTCAACTTTCCTGATGAATCGAAGTTCCCACCCGTACCAGGCGCTTATCGTGGACCCAAAACCTTTGTTTTCTACCGTTCCAGTAAGTTTTTTCTTAGAATATTTATATATAAGTCTATGGGGTCTACAATTAGTGCTTTTATTTAATGAATTTATTATTAAAAGTTTTCGGCGGAGGAAAACTGATTTGAGCTTTTCCCACTTAACGTAAGTGTTAATACGATAATAGACGCATTTGGCTGTCGTGGAATGATTTGGTAGGAAGAGGAAGTTTTCTATAGGTGAACTGTGAACTAAAAATTATGAAACAAAAGAAACTAATGAGTCGAGCGGTGTAACCTGGTTTACTTGTTATTATATTACAGTTCCGAAAGGCGGGTTAATTGATCATGTGCGCATAGTTAAACGAATTCACAAGGTAGCTGGCATATCAATTTTTTCGTTATTAGAACGTATTTTATGGAAACTAAACTAATAATAGATGCCAGAATATTCATCTGCGCTTGTGCCGTCACTACAAGAGTATTAGATAATAGTTATAACACATTAACTTCTTTAAAACTGGGAATAATGTGTTCGGCTACAGTTATTTTGGTTCGGTTCTTATAAGTTTTATCTATTTTTGACAAAATCTTTTGCGAAAATTGTTACTATCTGCTGATTCATTGACATATTAACAAGACGGAAGTCATATTGTGTAGGAATCGATTCGTCTAGCCAGTACGCATTTTACGTGGTCCAAATAAGTCCTTGATAGCAAATGTTTGATAGATTAGACAATTTGTTATGATAGGGCATAAAGTCTACAAGACATACAAAGATGGACCAAAAATAACATGAAATTAACACGATTACGAAGATGTCTTGGCATCAGGGGACATGGCGATGTTTTTTTCTTGGCATACTAGACTCTACTTTGAGCCATTTGTTGATCCACTTCTAATTTTGCATAGGGAAAGTACCCGGCTGCATAAGGTATGTTATTATTCATTTGAGCGGCTGGTATGAGTCATTATCTGACATTTGCGTCAGCATATTTGTGGGCCAACGTTTTTGTTGGATAAAATGTTTGAAAAAAACATACAAATAATCCTATGAAAATGCTTCAGCTGCATTTATACATGTGCTTGCATTTACTGTCTAACTTTTAATATTTTAGATGCTGATGACCTCTGAGATGTTGTTCTGCGAAGACTCCAAGAGATCTTTCATTCGTGATGATGATCATAAACAGTGCCTTCATTTTTTCCCCTCGTTTCTTTCAGTAAACAATTACGCTCACATTATATGTGCATCGATTTATTAGCTTCTTCCATGTATTGTTTCAGTGATAAAAAGCATTCCTTTTACCTTGTGTCTTGTGTATTAATTGAGAAGCAATAACTAATCCCAAGTTCATTGTGAAAAATGTTTACCACCACTCATCTCTGTTTAACGGGTGACATAATGCAGCCTCCCTTGTGAGGGAAACAAATTTTGCCACCAAATATATCAGCTAAACTTAACAAGTTGATTTCGTTATTCCGCACAGTGTGTGGGTTGATGTGTATCGAAGCGTTGACATTTTGACCGACAGGAACTAACTGTAACCGACATACAACGGAGTTATCACCGCAGAGTACTTTCATCTGATCACGTAGTAATCCAAATCGATGTACGTCGAATACAACGATAGGTCGTTAACAGACACGTTTTCGAGGTCAATGGTCACAGTTTCGGTGCCTCATAATGGACCATCGTTTTTTCGTGCGATGAACGACATCTAATTGGGCTTGGAGTTGTCGTCAAGATCATATCGCTTATAACACGCTGATGCTACGTAATTTGAAAAAATTTGCCGAAGCCAATTCCTCTATCTACAAATCCCAATTTTGCAGCTCTTATTCGGAGGAAATCTAATATATGAATGTAAATAATATATTATACATTAATATAAATTTATCTACTTGAGATTGTTCAGAGGATATTGAAGATCAAAGTTAGAATAATCGATGCTGGAATCGGCAGTGTTCCAAATTGCTATTTATTTGGAAGATCAAATGGAATTACTATTATAATGAATGGCCGATATTAATTAGAATAGTTGGATTGATTTAAGACCATTTGAATTAATAGCAAGACAAAAAAGTTCGGTAAATCTTTGCGGCTACGTTCTTCAAAAAACATCTCGACGATATTTGGGTTTGGGCGTGTGGAAATCGAATACAGAGACAATGGGGTTTATTTATTAAGTGATAAGGTGGAAAAATAATAGCTGAAATTTCATAGGATATATGAAGAGCATATGCACTAAAAGTAGTCATGAAACAAGCTCACTTATATGCGTTTCCCTGAATTTCTTTTATTCCGTCTTCATTTTAAAATAACATTTCTATGGAAAAGTGAAAGCAACACGAATTAAATCGACATTTAAGACTTAAATCATATATATTGCTGAATGAAAGACACTGAAGACCCTCAGTAGTCAGTGATGTCAACGAATTATATTGTAAACAGATAAGATCTTCCATACTATCTCTAAAGTAACGTCCATTTGTCCACAAAACGTAGTTGCCAACATAAGTGCAGAAGTAAATAGTCTGCTATTCAATTTGCAACGTTCCCAATCTTCAAAAGACCTAATGATAACTGTCAAAATGCCTGCCATTTGAAATAAATAAATAAATATTCAAAATGGTGGTTCATTTAATTATAGTTGAATGCAGCAAATAGGTTAAAATAGATCAAATTCAATCAAAATTCAAAGCAAATGTTGCATATTTAAGGGCCCAATTAAATATGACAAATATTTTTAGAATTTTTAAATAATTAACATAACATTACTAAATCAAAAAATTCAGTTTTCCCTTATACCCCAAAGGCTTATTTTCATTGGTAAATCTGACACTCTAGCTTATCTTCATTACGACCTAAGTGGTCATTTATATATCCCCGTTGTCTATAGTTGTGGTTGGATGTAATAACTATGGTAAGAAGATACTAATTTCTACTTAAAATAGAATACTAACGTTAAAATATAACATTTTTGGAATAAGTCTGTATGTGGTGACATTTGTGGTCAGAGTCTGAACACATTTACTCCACATAATTTTCTGTTTTCTTTTCAAAGTATTTTTGCTGTTTTCTTATTATCACGTTTTCTTTCCCCTTCTTGCATCATTTATCGCCGTAGAACGACAGAATTCGTCCAAGCTTAAGTTTGGTCAACGAAATGCCCTAGTTATTTTATTTTTAGTACATATTTATTCAATCTTAAACTGTTTCAGTGACTTTAGCATCATCAATATTTCTTTCGATTTTTGATACTCCAGATTCTTTATCATATATTATTTTTGTTAAAGTTTTTTATTGTCTTAGTTTGGCGACAAACGTCATCCGCGTATGCAGTCAAATACTAACTTGGCTAGCTATCTTCTCACAAAGAACGCATGGAAACGAAGGTATTCAATTCTCAAAATACTGCCCTCTTTTCTGTCCGCGCTGTGTTATGTTTTCTAGGGGCAATTTCGTTAAAGACACTCTTGCTTTAGGGAAATTATCCTCAACACTATCAAATTGGATGAGTCTAAAGCCTTTGCCTTTAGGTTATTTATTTCCTAGCTTAATTCCATCCTCAAACTAAAACACTTGAGTAGTTTTATTATTCCTTGCTGCATTCAATTTGTCCCCTTTCATATTTTTTTTCCTCTTCAGTTATAAGCGCATACTTTCGATCGGTACGCAGGGTATAACCACCTATAAAAAGGATGATTTTCGAGTGACTAATCAGGTTTGTTTATTTACCTCAATTTTCCTTCGCTAAACTTGAGAATTTATGCTTTTTTCGGTTTCGTTAGTGGCTCTATGAAGAGGTAATATCTGTTCGGCCAGACAGTGGTCTTACTAAAGGGAATAACTCCAATGGGCTACAAAAATTCAACTTAGTCACTGATGGACCAGGTGGCCGAAAGACTATGCTCTTCTTATCCGAGTACCGAACGGAAATATTAACAGATTTGCTGGTGAGTTTTCTTCTATATATTTCATACTTATAGTACATTGACCATTCTGGGTATGAGTTTTACTTTCATTGTGATCTTTCCACTTGAAGTTATGTTGTAAACGACGATTGTCTTATCTGTTATCGTTTAGAGAAAGCTTTTATCTTCTTCTGTTGACGACATTTTAAGGCTCTTTAGTTAGGAAATCCACATTATAATGCTCAATGTAATTCCCCGCTTGATGATATTGACTTGACCCTCTAAGGGGATGGGAATGGTATTATAGGAAAGAGTAATACTTGTTGCTGGTTGATGATAGTTTGCTGTTTCAGATATTTTGTATTCACTTTTAAAGATTTAATAATGTCTTCGGTATTGTCCATTTAAACTAAGATATGAAATAGTAAATTTTTTCATATTGTTTAATAATATGAGTAATTAAGGTTAAATACAGCACAATGTCAACTTGCACGTGCTTAAAATATGAGATAATAGCTTTTAAATCCAGTGGATAGCGTTCTCGCCTTTAAGACAGCTGTCACGTGTTTGATGTCCTTGGGTGCAAACCAAGTGAGTGCTCTCTCTAACCACAACGGTTAAATCTGGCTCAAAAGTAAGGCGGTAGAATTCGGTTCATTTATTATTGAGGATCCATGATCCTATCATGATACATAATGGGTTTGGATAAGGTTTTTCTAATCGTACAAATTAGATGTCATGGGATGGCTCATCGGTGAACGATGGGTGATATAATTGGCAACATCTAGTGTTAATTGGGATTGTAGAGTGGGAATTTAAATCTTAATAAGAAAGATTTTTCAATAATTTGCCTATTAGTGGGATTAATACTCTCACTTCCAAATTTATTAGCAATACTTTTCTTCTTGAAATCAACTTTTGTGCAGTGTTGTGTTCAATCGTTCATCTTTGTTTCGTTTCTTTTGCAGAGATTTCGTAGCCTATTTGCTGAGAAACCCCGTCCTACTATCGTAAGTCCAGCTTTTAATTCAATTTATCTATTTTAATCCTATCGAAACACAGTTCAAACGTATGTGTTTATTGCAAACGGACTTTGTGTCATCATTTTAATGTCATATGGCTCTTATGATTATCGCACACACAGTGACTGCTTACTGACCATGGTGATATCCTACTTTTACAGCGCTTTCAATTATGTAAAGTGTGTTGATACATGGTGTTGGTGTTTGTTGCTCTTCCCCCGAGGCTATTTGTGTCATTGTTTTGTCTTCTAGAAAGTTCCGGCTGCAAAAATAACCTGGTCGGATAAAGAAAAACCAGTCTTTCTCGAAATTACTCCCATATCGATTGATCAGATTGATCAGTCAAGTGGTAGGAGAGTGGCCTGTTACACGTATCGAGATATCAATTACTTAGCTCCGGTAAGGCGAAAATTCTATTTTTTAAAAATAATTATGACTATTATTAATATATGAGTAAAATAATTTAGGTAACCGGGTTGAATGGTGCTTTCGCCATTGTTTGTGGCAGCCAAGAGCGAATTGTAAGTCTAGGTGGCATTAACTATGGTATCCCCTTCTAGCATCTATTTCGGTGTGCTGATCCAACAGCTTTGATGAACTCAGCATCAGAAGCATCTGCAATGTATTTGGGTTTAGTTCTTAATCGAACACCCTCGCCTTTAACACTTGAACACTGCAAGGAATTGCGGCTTGGACCGATTGCATCGTAATTCTAGCATTGCTTCATAAATTTATTTTATGTTTTGTTTTGTTTTTTTGCAGGCCAGAGAATATGATATCGACTGCAGAGTTTGTTGTTCAGAAAGTTGCACCTTATAGACATGGTGAAAGTGCTCCCCCAATCTCTAGAACTCTGTGTTTAACTGAACGTTTGCTGGTAGAAAGGGATCCGATTTCGTATAGACCAATCTCAGCGCAACCGCTTTGTTATGTAAGTTGACCGTTTTCATATTTTTTTATCCTCAGTCGTTACTTAGTTACTGTACACATTTGTACTTTTGTAATCAATTAAATAGGTCTTATTGATTAGTGATGTATGCTAAACAACGAGATTCGAACAGCTCTAATACTCAATAATGCCTCCATGTTCTTATTATCTTATTTTTTATGCACTTAAAGCGCTTTTTCTTTATATTTATTACTCTCTATATGAAATCAAATTAACGAATCGAATACGGAAGAGGGAAACATACTATTACAATTTTGATATCGGTTATGAATTTGAGGAAGTTTATCATACGCAGAATACTGTTGTGTCGCTTTGTTCCTAAGTCCTTCACTTTTATCCTTTTAAATCTTTAAAGGCGCCTACTAGAAATCGGTATTCAAAATCAATTTGCAATTTTGTTTTATTAGAATGTGTACCCACTCCTTCCCCCTCCCTTCCTCCTCCCCCTCAAGAATAAAAGCTTGCTTGGGCCCATCGTTAAATTTACTGACTTGTCATTTTTGCATTCAATTAGGATGAACTCACTAACCAAATCTACCAGTTGATGGTTAATTAGAGGGTTTTTTGCTAGTTTGGTATTCTAATAGTAAAATTGGATCAGGATGATGCAAACTATGCAGATCACTTAAGCTTTCATTCAAAATGAAATGCCTTATTAATGTGTTGTATTTATTCTTCTGTCACCGCTCTCATTCTCATTGGTTGTGCAGTGTAGATTTGAAGCTATTAATAGTCGAATTATTGTGTTGGTCTATGAAGTAGTCATTAATGGGAATGTGTAATGCGTTCTTCTCTCATATTTTCTATTTTATTTTTTATCCAAAGACATCTTGGAACTCTACCGATTTCCTACCTTCCCTAATATTTTGATTTATTTATCTGAAATCTCTTTTTTTGCACTTTATTGTTTAGGTCTTTGCTCTTATCCGCTCTCGTCGTGAGCCTCAAACCTTGACCATCGAGTACACTAACGGAAAGGTGCACAGATACTACTCTTCGGATAGGTGAGAGTTGTGTCTACTAAGTGATTGACAGCGATTGTAAGGTAATAAGCATGTCTTATTTTTCCCATTGCCAGAGATTCACTTCTTTGTTCAATACTCGATGGGGTTCGAGCCAGTGGCAATCAATATGTTTGTGTTCTGTCAACGCCATCCAGACGTCATCTTCGAATGCATCCCACTTCAGTTCCTTCTTCTGAGGAGGTAGAATCGATGCACTTGAAATGTCTTCGACAACCTCCTGGTAAATACTAGTAATATTCTACTTATTTTATTTCAAAATCCACATTTTATAGCAGTCATTTTGCACATAAGCCGTATACGAGGTGACATAATCAGTATTCATCGGGTCACCTTCATTACCTATCTTACCAATCGCATTAGTCAATAGAAGGGTAGCAAACGGTGGGTTTCTTAACAGAGAACCTGTATGAAAACCCTTTTGGATACTGATAAAGTTTACTTTGATGGATTTTCTGAGATTGATGTTCATTTGGGTTCTAATGGTGCCGACTGTCAGCTAATTAATTTAAGTTTTAAGATTAATTTCCAATGAATTTATGCGCTCTTCTAATCAAATCGATGTCTTGCATTGATTACAAATTTGGGGCGTTGCTTTTTCCCCTGGTCTGTTTTAATCACTTCCTTGTGATTGATTGCAATACCCACGAGTGGTATTCAAGTTAAATCCGATAAAATTATTATTTTTTTTCAACTGAGAACTAAATCTGATAGGCCATTCACTCTATCTCCGTTTCTCAAATTTGTTGGCTTTTCTTCCTTCCTTCCTTATCATACAGTCAAGATGGGCTGCTTGCCAAAACTGACATACGACTCCACACATCTAAATTTTGCATAAGAGTTGTATTTAGTCTTTTCTTTAATTCAAATATTAGGCCTGGTAGTTGAGTTTTTTCCTGGCCAAATCGTTCTTCCTTCTTGGTTATCGATCGGCAGCTTAGAGTTGTAGGCTTTCTCGCTACCCAGTAATTATTGTTCATAGTTTTGGGCGATTGCTGGACAAGAGGCTGCCACGTTTTCATTCCTTTGTTGAAATTTCTGTTTTGAAGTTTTCTGCGCAAAATTATCACAGGTAAATTATTTCATTACTATTTTTGCATTTCATATTTATGTGCTTTGTAATATTCTAATTGAGCACATTTGTGTTAATATAATTGGATTGTCCTTCTGACAAGTGTCTTCTCATATTTCACATTTTTTCACTTTGATGTTGCTCCTCCTCTCTCTGAAGCCCAGAAGTCAGCTAGAGGGCTAATGATAACTATCATAACGTCTGCCATTTGGTATAAATAAATAAAATTTTGAATGCTCATTGGCTTATTTATATCAAATGGCAGGCTTTGTGATAGTTATCAAAACGTCAAGGCGCATCAAAGTCACAAAAGTCGTGATTGAGAACAGAAGAATGATTCACAGATGTGAAAGTGGCAGACTCAAAAGCAAAGAAAAAAGGTAAGATGAGTAGTGTGGAAGAGGTCGAAGATGACATACAGTCGAGTCATGGAAGTTTGAAGTCAGAAGTCAACTGTCGGTTTATAGACTTTTGCCGTATGAATATACTTTGCCCAGGATGCACCATGTGAAAGTAAGTCTATCGAGCACCCCGTGTTCCTTAACTAGGTCATTCTTTTTTTCAACTTAGAGTTACTGTTTTACTGGAGCTGTTTTGACTGTAAATATTGATTTAGTCGTTATGTTTTGTTTTACCTTTCAGAGGATATTTCATTTTGGGAGACTGTCGAGCGTTTCAACGCCAATGTGGCTTATAGCGGTTTGGTGCATTCTGTTAGCCAAGATGTGAGTACAAATAG